TCAATAAATAAGGAGGCTCAGCACTGCAAGAACAAGCCACAAATTAACACAGAGGGTAGTAGATTATGCAGAACTTGGTGCAGTACTTGTTTGCCTTGAAGTTCTTTCCCAGTCTCTTGATGATTTGCAGAATCTTTTGGAGGATCACTCTAAAGTCAAAGGAGATGAGAGGAAGTGTCAAGTTCAAAATCTGTTTTTTTCTGTATTTGTTTTTGTTTTTTGCAGAAAAAGGTCTCAAAGTGAGCAACTAAAATGTAGATGTTACAGATTCAGTTTGTACTTTAACTGTTAGATTGGAGTCGGACCAAACAGGAAGTGAAATGTTGCCAGCCCACAAATGTTTGCTCCAATGAACACGACAACCACTTCCTTACAAAGTTATTATGAAAACATTTTCAGGTCAATGTTTTTTGCTTTGCGTGTCGCCACAGGAGCTCCAGATGAATGCAAATAGTGACAATAGGCTTGACCTTGTTTTCCCATTGCCAGTGGCTTTAGGACGATCCATCATAGTATTTGCTTCTACTTGCGTCACCTGCTGTGTCTTTGCATTGACTTTGTATCTAACTTTGCAATCAGTCTGAACACGCCAATTGGCACAACTCCCAAACTTTGTATTAAAATAAGAATTCAACAGGCAGAATTAGAAAATTTCATTCAGTCGTCCATAGACTAGATATCGGCATCTGACAAAGATACAAAGCTTTACAATTTTGAAACTGCGGTGTCTTCAAACATAGTTCATATAAAGATGATTTGACCTCCGAGGCAGCATGCTGAGAACAGACATCAAACGTAGAGTTGCGTACCTGTGCAGAAGACTTGAAGGGGTTGACTTTCTGCATCATTGCTTTCAACACTCCAGAGTTCTGAAACAACAGCATAACTATCAGACTTTGGGGGTTTTTCCTTCCACATCCGTGTGAATTTTTGTGTGAAATGATGATCAGATGTTAAAGGTAATATGGTATTTTGTCCCCGTTTTGACCTTTTTTGTCTTGTGAAAATCTGTAGGGGCTTTTCAGCAGTGTCATCTCAAATGTTAGGAAACCAGTTTCAAGAAATGTGTGCGGATGTACAGGTCGTCACTAGTGACTTGAAGGAACCTATGATCAAGTAATTTTTTTTTCTACCATCAGATTTCTGACATCAAATTCATGCAGATTCTCAACTTTTTCCTACCTGAGTAGAGTCTTCCTTTCCCCGCTCCGGCAACTCTGAATATGGTGCTTTAGAGACCTGTGTGAGAAACCCAGCTGAGTGGACGACCTATTATTACTGCCACTATTTTCTTGGTAACATTGAAACAATCCTATTACCTGTGAGGTAGGCTTGAATGGGTTGACCTTCTGCATGACCCCTTTCAGCATACCAGGGTTCTGAAAGTGAGCAAACACTGAGCCACTGTGCACCAAACCATGACTAGAGGAATGCACATTTAATATGCTAACTGAAGGCAACTAATCACCTTGACTCGACCTCGCTGAGAGAAAACAAGAAACAGCAGTACTGAGGTTAAGTCTTCAAAACACACATTTCTTGTAGGAAATCCCTGCTGAGACCCCGTTACTTAAATGAAATTAGCGACACCACATTAAGAATATTCTCATAATCAGGACAGAACTTTAAAATGTTGTAGTTATTTGTGTTTACTTTTTTTCTTAGCTTTCTCTTAGCTTCTTAAAGCAGCTGTGAGTTTCTAGGAATAAAAAGAAGCTATTTTTGTGACCTTGAGTTGGAAATTATATTTAGTTTTTCCTTCCTTCCTTCCTTCCTTCCTTCCTTGACTGATGGTGGTGCTGTTTGCTCCATTTTGGGTTCTTTGTTTCCTTCTATGTTGGCAGTTGAGGATCACATGGGGGACCAGTGATGACTAACTGTTTGTTTTCTTTAACTCTGTGTTTGGTAAATCTGGCTTTACTCCATCTGCATCCACCATTTACAAGCAGCAGCTGTACAATTTAGAGGTCATGTCTTTTTTGTTTTATAAGTCTTCTTTATTTGTTTAAACATGGGAATAACTTTATAAATAAATTACTGGAACTAGTTTTCGTGCAATGTACTGTTTATAAGGTTGCAGAAGCCTGCAGTCAGCTGAGACTGAAGAAGTCACTTGGATGAGTGATGAAACATTTCTTCCACTGAAAATGCTGCGTCCAGATGAACAGAATCAACCTTTTAGGGTGCTGGAGCTAGAGCTTTCCTCTTTTCATTGACACTGGTCATTGTTGGGGAGGCTCATACTTTTAGAGCAGCTATGCATCCCTTCCATCTCTCCATCTACAATCTACCATAGACTCTTTTATATAAAATGTCTATAATTTAAATTTAAATCAACAGATGAATACAGAGCAGTAAAATACAGTAGATTTCATCCAATACAAGGCTTTATTCAAGAGTTTTGAATTGCTCAAATAAGTTGCGTCTTTCTGCATCCAGTTTTTGGGTTCAAGATAAAACCATACAGCACTCACTAATTTTACACTGTTGTGGTATCACAATGTCTTGTTTACTGATGCTATCTATGTATTTGGAACTACACTGATAAGAAAATAAATTCTTAGCATAGAAAGCAGGTTTCAAGTGAAATATTTTGGGAAGATAGGCAGCAGGGTGGTGCAGTGATTAGCACTGGTGCCTCACAGCACCAAGGTCCTAAATTTTGACTCCACCATCTAAACCGGGCCTTTCTGTGTGGAGTTTGCGTGGGTTCTCTCCAGGTACTCTGGCTTCCCCGCACAGTTTAAAGACATGCAGTTAGTGGGGATAGGTTAATTGTGAGCGGTTGTCTGACTCTCTGTGTCAGCCCTGTGACAGACTGGAGACCTGCCCAGGGAGTACTCGTGCCCTATAGTAGTGAGGACATGCTCCAGCCCCACTGCAACCTTGATAAGCAAAAGAGGATGGATGGATAACTTTGGAGGAGTGGTAGTTGTTTTCAAAACTGACTTTGCATAACTGTCCATGGTGTACTTTTTACACAGAAGAATATCACATATTAGCAGTACTTTACACCTCACCTGAGCTGTGTCTGCAGGTTGTTCCAGTGAATCTGAGGAGGGAGTTGTATGAACAGTGAAGGAGGCCTGCATGGAGAGTTAACGTTCTGTCATTTTCAATAAGGTACCGAACAAAGAAGCTCTTGTGTGTCAGGCTGTCCGTGCATTTTTACCTGAGCAGTGGATTTGAAGGGATTGACCATCTGCATGACACCCATCACCCCCGTCCTCTGATGTTTATGATAACAACACATTTATTATGAAAAAAAGCAAAATTCTTTCTGCATCCAGTTAAAGTCGATCTTATTCACCAACAAGAAATGAATGGGCCTTGGCCTTGTCAAATTAAAAAAAACATCCTAGAGGGGTCCTCATCACTTAATAAAAGATTGAAATATATGTTTGCATTTGACCCTGTGTGGATTAATTAAACTCCAAAATAAATTCAAACCTGTTCCACCCAATTATTTTTGTTTTGCTTTTGTTTTTTAAGTCATGTGCAATCATTCCACCCTGGAAAAAGAACAGTTCAAAGAACTTATTATAAGCCCAAACTTCCCGTGACATTCATGCCCACGAGGCATGTCATGTAAGCTTCTGCACACAACTGTAAATGCTTGTGAATCAAGTGTTTGTTCTGCAATAGCCATTTTGAGTTTCTTAAATCAGTCCCTGACAAAGAACACTGAAATTTTAAAACATGAAACTAACACAGAATCTTAAGAGGAACAAAAAAAAGTCATAGTTGAAACATTTTCAAAAAAAACTATGATGCAGTCAAGAGTGGAAAGGGCCAGGGCTGTAGTAAAAGTTTGTTTTATGATGTTTTTATTACAATATTGTGATGTCAGCCTGTTATGGGATCATTGTGATGTCGTGTGGTGTTGTATAAAAAAAATTTAAAAAGCGTTTGTAAAGCTCACTCTATGCCCTTTCATATGATATATTACTCAATATGGTTTCTTGAATTTTTTTCCAGCTCACATTGGGTGCTAACGGTTAAGGGAGAGATCTAACGCTTAGCTAACCAAGGTACTCGTGTCTCCCACAGCCTAGTATACTGATGAAGAGTCAGTTAAGTCTTAAGTTTCAACTGATTTACAAATTTGTTGTGACCTTGACCTGATTTTCACCTAAATTAAATGAGCTCAACACGGGACTGCTACAAACAAACAGGCAAACCATCGGGATAAGACTAAAATGAACAAACACACTGTAGGAAGTAGTTGAAACTAAATTCATAAGACAATTAACTCAAATTGAAAAATACATATTTAAATAAAAACACTGATTTAAATTGAAATTATTTTGGAAGAGTGACAGACGTTTGTAGCAACTGATGCAGAAGTCACTTTGCATACTGTACAATTTGCATAATAGTTGCCTAGTGTGTACTCAGCTTTTCCACAGAAGAGTTTTTCACTATTATCAAACATAATAATTTTCCCTGTGATCATATTCAGGTATACCTTTTTTCTGTCTCAAAAGAAGATTTGCTTGCACAACTATGTCAGGAAAGGCAACAATATCTTCATGGTGCATTTTTACCTAATAGGTCAATGTGAAGTGATTAACTTTCTGCATGCCCCCATCACCCCCACCCTCTCGTGTCTATGCAAAGCAACACGTTTATTACAAAAAGGGAAATAAATGCAAAATTCAAATTGAATCGTGCCAACTAAAAACAAACTCTCAGTTTTGTCTTTGGTTTAAGTTAAATAGCGTCCTCAGTGGTGTCTTCCTATAAGAAAAACTGTGTTTTAATGTCCCAGTGTGAACATTCACCTGTGAGCCATCCCCATCATCCTGCTTGTTCTGGCTGTGTCTGACGGCACTGCCGAGCTCCTGATGATAAAGGAAAGCTTGTTTGAATGGCAGGGAGACATGTAGTATTAAAAAAATAAATAAATCAGGACGTTATCACACTTCCTGTACTTCTCTAGTGGATATAGGTGGGACTACCTGAGTAGCAGCCGCTGAGCCTTTGTCTCGTTTGAATATATTCATTCTGAAACACATTAAGTTTTCATAATTTCGTTGTACACATACAATGACAATAAAGGGCAATTCTGCTCTATTGTATTCTGTTAAGGAGCTGTTTTAGTGCGTTAAAGCACTTTCACTGTTTTCACGGCAAAGCTAAACAACAACATACTTAGCAAGTTATAGCGCCATGCCTGCGTTATAAGCCAAACACCAATTCTAAAAATGTTAGTTAAAACGACATTAATAATAACAGTTACAGTCGTGCTCTTGACTGTTATTATTGCGTCAACTTGCGCAACTCTGCCCAACTTGACGCAGAGTTGCGAAACAACTTTTTGCTTATTGAGTCGCTTTAGACGACATAAACAAGAAAGGCGGCACAGCCCGAAAGTGTCAGGGTTTAAACACAGCCCCGCGTGAGATGCACAAAGCAAAGCCACGTTCAAAGCTCTGTGCACTGTGGGCGTTTTGTCCGGAGGAATGTTTGACAGCAGCAGAGCCACAAACAGCACGGCGAAAAGAGCACGGATCCTACCTCGGTGTCGAGTCTGGAAAACAAGGCAGCCAACACTCACACACACAAACACACGACACAAAGTGGGAAAAGTGAGGTACTGTTGTCAAGCCAGCGTCCAGTTCGAGAAGTACAGACGAGCGAGTCCCCACTTTTTTGTGTTTTGTGTGTATACTGAGTATTATGGTAAGAGACGTCGAGACCTGATTTCAAAATAAAAGCCCCTACAAGTGAATTTAGGTTCAACATTAACTAACATATCTGTCCATTATGACAATAGTTAATTAGTCTCCTTTCCACACTCTAACGATAGTTAGATAGATTAGTACTCTAGTCGTACCATGTCAGTATCAAGGCACTCTTCTTTTGGATTTCAAAGTAAAAGCCCAGATTTTTACCTTTTTGAGCTATCTTTCAATGACTTTAGAATCCCGTTAAAAGGAAAATTCAAGTTTCCACATACTAAATGCAGCCTATATCAACAGTACACACCCTCACACAGGTACCATGTCAATATCAAATCAATCTGATTTTGCATTTCAAAGTAAAGGTCCTTTGAAATTCTTTGTATATGAGGTACACTTTCAAGAACTTCATGATGCTAGTAGGAGCCATATGAATTTACCTATGTATGAACTAGTTTTTGAACGTATTAAGGACACTGTTAAAAGGAATATTCTTGTTTTGATGACAGGCAACCAGTCAGCAGCCTGTAGAGAGCAAATGAGGTGAACAATTTTTTCATGGGGTTCAGTTTACAGCTCTCTACTGCCTCTTGCACCGCACACTCTGGCCTCCAAACATCACTAATGCCTATGATTCTTTACTGCTCCTCCTGTTCTTATCCCCGAGTAAACTTTGTTGCTTTAAACCTGACAAACATCCTTTGCTTGACTATGACTTCGGTCCTGGTTATGTTGCAGACTGTTGGAGAAACTACACTAGGGTAAGGAAGGACAGGTTATGGTTGGTATTAGCCCCAGGGTTCTGAGCACTCTCCCAGCTGTCTATGATCTTGAGCAACATTTACAAAATGTTTCTGAAGCAGGAGAAGATACTGATGTTACACACATTTTATGTTGTACATATTTTGCCCAGTTCCTGATGGATCAACACCGTCACAGTTTAAGAGTGTCCTCCTAGCCTGATAACAGTGGCCACACAGTGAGAACCTCTGAAGTCAACATCACCTTGTTTGAGTTCTAAAGTGAATTTAACACAATCATTCTACTGAGGGAGACAGTACACAAAATGCCAGCAAGCACATCCACTATCTCATGGACTGCTGGACAGCTGTCAGACAGGCCACAGTATGTGAGACTGGGCAGAGCTCAGTTTGATTTGATGGTGTGTAGTACAGGAGCTCCACAGGAGACAGTGATCTCTCCAACCCTTTCACCTTCTACATCTCAGACCTTCAGTACACCTTCAGGAAATTGTCACAATGGGTGTGGTTTCACCTTACTGATCTGGTTACTCCTCACGTGGCATGTGAGGGGAGAGGGTGTCCTCGATTACAACTGGATGAAATGGAAGACCAACATAGTAAAAATATATAAAAACAGGATGCTGATCTTCAGCGCTATAATATGTTGTTTTAGAATTATTGTGTTGTCCGTGCCGAAATGGGAAAACATTGATACACTTCCTACACTTCTTCAGATTTATACTACAGTATATACTCATTTATACTGTAATGAAAGTTAATAGTGACCTGTACATGTAAATCAAAGAGAGAGTAGAGGAGAACAAGTTATCAGTACATCATGGGGAGTCCATATACATATACTGACCAAAAACAACCACGTTCCTGACAGTAATACCGTGGCCAAGGTAAGGTCATCTTCAGAAAGTATGTGTTTCTAAGGTCTTTGGTAATTGTATTATTTTTGAATTTAGAAAACAACTGTTACAGGTCAACCTGGCATTACGCTTGTAGTTTAGCTAATCGATTTGTGTTGATTTGCTTTCAGTACCATCCAACCAAGCTCACAGAGATTGGAGTAGAATCTCTTTTGTTTCCTGGATGATAGACGACTTGACAGAAAGGCCACTCTTTGTCAGATCCGGGAAATTCGTTACTGGGACATTATTGAGCAGCACGAGGACTCAACAGGGGACCGTCCTGGCCTCGTTCTTTTTCACATTCTTTTTCTTGCCAAATCCAGAAATACTCAGATGACACTGCTATTGCAGTGGGTGTCTGAATCTGAATACAGGGGTCTTGTAAAAGCCTTCACAAATTGGAGTCACAAAAATTACCTCATAGTGAACACCTCTAAGACAAAGGAAATAAATAGATTTCTGACGATTCATGCCCCCCTCCAGCCTGTCAAAGTTTGTGGGGTGGACAGGTGGTGACAATATATAAATATATAATTTTACACTTAGATAACAAACTAGACTGGTCCCTGAATACAGACAAACTTTACAAAAAGATGCAACGCTGCCTCTTTATTTCAGAACGCTAAGCTCTCTCTGCAGTAACACACAGAAAGTATTCTACCAGTCTGTGGTGGAAAGTCTGCTGTTCTATGCTGCACTCTGCTGGGGAAGCATCCTTGTTTCCAACAAGCTATTGGGAAAAACTGGCTCTGTAACTGGAACTACGTTGGAAATGGTAGTAGAAAGATGGACACTAAAGACCTTATTTGCACTCACAGTATCAGGCTTTTCAATTCTCATACACATATCAGATTAACTATGAATTACCCTCTAGGATCAATATATTTTTTTCTTATTCTTATTATTGTTCCTAAGCAGTTGTCTGGCAAACTGCTCCACAGTGGACCACCTTTGGTTATAAAAACCTTTACAGAGTCCACTGTTAGATTATATGTGATATATGTTGACATGAACTGTAGTCCATGGAAACAGAAATTTTCCTTTTAACAGCATTCTGAAGTTACTAAAAGAATAGGTAAATTCTGAGGGCTACTCTGAAATCCAAAATCAGATGGACTTGATGTTGACATGATACACTGTAAGGGCATGT